GACTTTCACGTGGATGTATACCTTAATAGCATTCGTCTGGTTGTTCGGTAAAAAGCCATACAAATCTTCATTAAACAGCTGCATTCACCATCCGAACCAAAGTACCGAACAACTGGACCACCCTGATGTGAAGTGTGGCTGTAATTAACCTCTCTGTTTGTCCATTACATTCCCCTGATTAAAAAGCACGACCGCTTTGCTGTAATCCCTGGGTGGCCGCAATTTCGGCAGCCGAACACGTGGCGGCGGCGGCCATCTTAACACACGTACAGCAGTGTTTGGTCGTCGAGTGTCTGGAACTCAAATCGGACACTCGACTACCCGAACACCGCTAAGACCTCCAGGGCTCCAGAAACTTCCGATTGAAACTCCCGAACGGCCCGCTGTTCGGTAGGATGAATCCCACGAACCAGGGGATTAATCCGAATGCCAGCTCAACCCTGGATGGCATATATTTTCGGGACTTTCAATGCACGAACAGAGACCGACCGCAAGGCCAAAACTTATGGAACTGTTTTCAGCTACTGCTGCCTGTGCGGTCGGTCAAATATTTACTTCCACATAACTCCCGAACCCCTGGTCCAATCTGGGTGATTTTTGAATATGTTGCTCATCCAGATCAGGGGATACCACTTGTATATTTGAGGTACATCTAAGAATTGGGGAAAAATGTGTACATTTTAATTATGTTATCTGTTAAGCTGAGGGGAGGAGATGTGTGGGAGATAACGTCTATTTGATTGGGGACTGTAATAATTATTGTGGGTGTCTCCCTTGCAGGGGAGAACCGCATAAAAGCAGGGTATGTGAAATAAAGCCTCAGTTCTACTCCTGATACTGTGTGTCGCCCAGTTATTGGGAAAGGTGATGGGATATTACTGGATTGTTTTGCTTATGTGTGCTGATTGTGTGCCTGCTACTCTATTGGATTTATTACTTGTTCCTGAGCCTTTCTGGAATTACCAGTGGAAATAGGCTGTGGGAAATCAGCTCTCCGCTACACCAAGATCAGTGGGTAGACCTCTCCTAGTCCAGAGAGCGAAGCAAGCTGCTCTTACAAGAGCAATCATTGTGATCCATAGTGATTATAGCAATTGCGAGAGTGAATATAGCTCTCCAATCCCCCCAAACATGAACTTAGACTACAATTACCCTGGACCTGAGTAGACTACAGTAAAAACATATACACATTGGCTCTCAGGTCCAGGACACTTCCAAAATACAAAATAGGCCTATCCTTCCCGATGCCTGGGAGATAATTGAGTCAGCACTGTATTTAAATCCATTAGCTCCAGGCAAAACCCCCAAAATACCTTAACATACTCAAAATCCCCACAAAAGTTAAATCCCCTGATCTGGATGACCAGCATACCCACATATCCGTTCAGGAATTTCCTGGAAGTCATAATTTGACTGACCAAACCCCCGCATGGTCCCATGCCCAAAACAGTTCCAGAGAATCAGGGTGTAACGGATCCCCCAGGCACACAAGGGGTAAAATCCGTGTATGCGATATTCCCCTTCCAGATAGACGAGCAGCTACTGCAAGCACCAATCTCCCGAATTGCAAATCATACAAATTCTCCAAACTCCTGAACCGGAACCACACGAATGCTGTAAACAGCCAAACAGAAAAAAACATACGAACAGTTTACACTCCTGGCAGTCGAATTGTAACAGCATGCAATCAGATCCCCCCCCCCCCCCCCCCAAGAATGAGACAACACATGCTTTGAGGGTCAAGCAGAATCTGTGTTTAATCAGCACCAAAGTGCTTTCTTTTATGCAAGTTTTCAGGCCAGAAGCACACCCCCTGGACCTGGTGGTAAACTGTGACAAAAGGGACACTAACCAATGGGAAAACTAATTAACAAAATATCACTCCCACATACACAGTAGAAATCCTCCCCTCTGCCTGTGATATAATTACTGAACACAATGGGCTAAGTAAGTAAGTAAGTAAGTATCACAGGCAGGAAAATACAGTTTTACCCAATATTCATAACTCTAAAAGTATACACATAAAACATACATTTTCAGAATCAGCATACTCCAAATACAAACATATGTCATAATCATACAAATTGGTCCAGTGGGTCAAAAGTTAGTTAGAAGTCCCTTTTTGACCAACTGGAAGCATGGCTTGGGTGTGGTAAGCCAATTATCTCCATCATACAAAAAATATCTCTATTTACAACAACAGTAAAAACACATAAAAATACATAATTCCCATTACACTGAACAGAACCCCCCACATTCAACCTATCCCCAGATAGCTTGGATCTGAGCGCTCACTATATCCACAAACACAGTAAAATCGCCATGGGTTTAAACCATAGCAAGGGCTGATGAGAGACAGACGAGGGGCAAAACAGCAAGTTCCAACTGGTCTGGCGGTGTCCCTGGGACAACGCCCTGTTGGAGAACAATAGACAGGAAACGGGGAGGAGCACACCTTCCCATGTATTCAAAGGGGCAAAAAAAGTGTTTCAAAATCCAATAAGGCCAAATAAGTTTCTTAAAGGGCAATACATTTCAGGGGCCATAGTCACAGGGCTGGAGGCTGGCAATCAGTCTTCTCCAATGCCCAGTGGCGAGGCTGGTTCTGCCACACAGGGCTTGCGGTCGGTCTAGTTCGGTAGTTTAAAAACGAACAAACTACTGAACAGAGTCAATAGTCTTACCCTGGAGCTTGATCCCCATGTTCGTGGTAACGTATCTACCGAACCGCGCCTGTTGTAGAACCGAACGCAGGCGATGCTGGCATTGTTCGGGAGTTTGTGTCTGTTTTCAGTTCCATGAGATTCATGCCCAAACACCGCTGCCTGCGTTCATGTGAACAAGATGGCTGCCACATCGTGGTCGTCCATAGGAATTGTGGCCACCCAGACGAACACTTAGAACACTGCGGTGGAAATTACTGCAAAGTAGGAATTAGGCTTAACAAGCTCCAGGGTGGTGTTTGAAGTCTGCTCACATAGTGTTTTTTTTAAAGGGCCCATAGTCTTTTGGTAAGAGGCTGGCCAGCAGGCTCCTCCAAGAACACGTGACGAGGCTCAGTTCGTCACATTTCTTCTGTTGGTCGGTACCTGAGCTAGTCGAGTAACCCACCATACCCCTGATCTCCCTTGTGCTCCCAGGCATATAGTTGTGGGTATTTGGTGGGCAGAGGCCAGCGGCACTCTACCCTGTAGCCAGCGTTACAGCTGGGTAGTACAGTGGGTCGTCTGGTCCCAAACCACATGTACTTTTTACCACTATGTACCCTGTGATTTACATATCCCCTACAGTACCTCTTTGTACCCCGTGATTTATATACCCCCTACAGTACCTCTTTGAACCCTGTGATCTATATTGTTATATATTTACTACTGTGCTCACTTTACACGTGATGTATATAGCCCCGTACTGCACTCTCCATACACCCTGTGATGTAATTACCTCCATTCTGTACTTCCCTATACACAATATATGCACACCATCTTGTAAGATGAGTGAGATGAATTCTGCCAATGTTGACAAAGAATTTATTGTCTGACAATATCAGCTGCTGCTCAGCCAATGAACTCCATCCAAATAGAGCCTATGCTGAATTATTTAATGTGCAAGGGGAGCTTTTTCTTTAGAGGGGGCCAGAACGTTGGCAAATGGGAAGAGCAGAGTGTCAAAATCTTCAGAAACTGTATAATTCTTACACGGAGGATCGCACCAAGGACCTCTTGGCGCTATGACAACTATACTGGGCTGTAGTGGTTATGGTGCTTTGAATACCCCTTATGATGCTCCTCCTTTACCTCTTATTTTATTGCTCTTGAAATGATGATAGTAGGAAATATTGGACACTTTCTCACCATTGTTTTTATATGGACCAATTTATTCATGTGAATTACAGGTATTCTCTAGACGTCATCAGAATGAAGTTGTTATGGCGTGAGGAGGTCCCAGGCAGATTCTTGCTTCTCTCACTCTATTTTGTTAATGTGGGGCTCCTCTCAGCCTATCAGCGGTACCTTAGTCCAAGGTTTCCTGATTGAGTTCTCGCACACAGAAAGTAAAGAAATGTTGCTGACTCCTGGGACCTTATTACGCCATAGCAACATAATTCCAGTGAAGTGGATATGGTGCCTAGAGTTTGATAAAGGGACACTATAAACACCTAACAGTGTCCGTTGAGGAGTCTGCTGACTTGCTGCTGTTAGCTTTTTACGCGCATCAGGTGTGCTGATTTGGACCAAACTAAATGTCTCACAAATCCCTGGTTGACAGAGGTTTAGAGGTTAAGACAAAACATGAATGAAATTACTTGGTAAGAAAAGGGTGATGCCATTCATGTTATCTTGAATGACACTGCTTTTGGCTGCGATATATATTCCCCCACAGATAGCAGTGACAGAATCCCATACGAGGTTGTACGAAGTTCCTGTACTGGGCAATGGACACACTATACAAAGAACATTGGTAGTTATGGTGCTTTAAATTACCTTACATCATACAGTTTAAAGGGATTCTAAAGTGTCAGGAAAACAAAGCTGTTTTCCTGGCACTATAGGCTCCTGCAGTGCCCCCCTGCCGCGGTGTGAAGGGGTTAAAACCCCTTCAGTGGCTAAAAAGAATCCAGCGGCGCTGGGTCAGACTCTGGCCATGCTCCTCCCCCGCCATCAGCTGGTGGGTGAGACCTAATGCACATTCGCTGCAATGGCCGCGTTCGCATTAGAATTTCCCCATTAGAAAGCATTATTCAGTGTGAGGATGTCCAGCGTCAGATAACGGACCAAAGGTCTGTTTCAATTCAGGAAGTCCCTCTAGTGGCTGGGAGACAGCCACTAGACGCAGAGTTAACCCTTAGAGGTAATTTTTGCAGTTTTAAAAAAAACTGCAATAATTACCACTGTAGGGTTAAGGGACATGGGACATTGCACCAAGACCACTTCATTAGGAGGGTGCCTCTTTAATTCTGTCATCTGGTGGCTCAATAATATATAAGTTAATACAATAGGTCAGTGAAGAGAGGACCCCCCTCTTCAACATTGTTCGTCCACTTGCTTAGATGTTACTTGCTTCTAATCTCCTCTTTCATCCTCAGCCATGGAAGACAAGACAGTGGGTACGGACGTGGTGAAAATTGAACCTCCTGATGTTGTGTCAGATCAGGAGGAGCTGCAGGAACCACTGAAATGTGAACCCCAGATAGATTCCTCTGGTGTTGTACTTGCTGGATCCATGGACTGCTTGGTGGATTACAATCTAGGGACTCAGCTCACAGTGGAGCAGGAGATACAGATTGGTGATGGCCCACCCCCATGTTTGGATTATGACATGAGTTTCCTGCCCAGAAAGGCAGCCAAGCCAAAACAGCAGAAACTGGCTGGAGAAAGGCATTTCAGCTGCAGACATTGCGGCAAAACCTTCCTACGCAGCACTGATCTGGCAAAGCACGAGAAATCCCACACGGAAGAGAGGACCTACGCATGCAATGTCTGCGGGAAGAACTTCCGTAGACACACATCCCTGCTGATCCATGCGCGCATCCACACCGGGGAACGTCCATACCAGTGTACGGAGTGTGGCAAGAGCTTTGTCCAGAGGCAGCACCTCACCACCCACCAGCGCACTCACACCGGCGAGAAGCCCTTTCAGTGTATTGAGTGTGGCAAGGGATTCCGGTGGCGGTCAGAGCTGCTGAAACACCAGAAGGTCCACACAGACAAGGTAGGAACAATGTCAGATATATTTACTGTAATGCCTTGTGGCTTTTGGGCAGCTTATGGCTTCACATTAACGTTGCTGACACCAACATGTTAAAGTGAGCCATCATTTGAAACATATCCATTGGTGTATGGAAGGTGGGAGGGTTACATACACTTCAAATTCACACTGCTGGGCACATCCATCCAATCTTGATGATCTCCGCCAATCCATAGTTTTCCCATAGGAAAGCACAGGATGCTATTGTGCATATGCTCCAAGACACCATCTAAGTTTTACTAGGCTATTTCTACAGAAGCGCCCCTAGTGGCTGTCCGTTTGGTAGCTTCCACCAGAAGCTGGATAGCTCTGCAGTGAAAACATTGAATGATTGTGTTTTTAGATGCAGGGCTAAAACGGTGGTGGTGGGTGCGGCGGCACCCGATTCATTGAGATACGTCATCTAGATGAAGTGGCCTCGGTGCTTATAAAGTCCTTTTAACACAAGGGCTAAATTCTGGCTGTTATCAGGACCCCATGCCTGAGGCTTAATAGACCGTTGAGATCCAAGCTGGTTTACCGTTTGTTATAAGAACATACCATAGTTACATAGCTGATGTAACGTTCACTAGGGAACCCTAAAACGCAGACGGGACAGAGTAGAGAGAATTGCAATACCGATCCTTAGAATGGTCGGGTTATGCAAAAAGGGATAGTCAAAACACAAGCCGAGGTCAAGGGAAACAGAGACGGAATTACGAGAGATAAGGCCAAATATCAGTAACCAAGGAATCCAAAATAACAAGTGCCATAAACCCATGCTGATTATTGCTAATAATAAAATTCTTCTTAATGAATTCCTGAATATTATCCCTTAATAGCCCTTCAAATACTTTCCGAGTCCCAGACGTTAAGCTCACAGGTCTATAATTTCCAGGCATGGAGTTTGAACCCTTTTTAAATATAGGAACAACATCTGCCTTCCTCCAATCCTCCAGTATAATACCTGAAACAAAAGAATCTTGAAAGATTAAATACAGAGGTTCACTTATTTCCTCCACTTAGCTCCTTAAGTACTCGTGGGTGAATACTGTCAGGCCCTGGAGCTTTATTTACATTAATTTTCTTTAACTCCTGTAGCACCTTGTCTCGAGTCATCCAATCACAAGTTATGCAAATGATTGCTGCAACATATTTGCAGATATCTCTTGCCATAGGATCCTCATTTTATATACTGAATAAAAATTTGGGAACTAATCTGATTGCAGTCACTCACGTTGTAATGTTTCCTGCTTGGGATCATACACAGGTAGGATTGTATGATACATTTCACTGATATTTATGTTTTAGACTAAAATAACTGATTTGGAAAAATCTCAGTGTCTGTTTTTATTTTGGCTTTTTGTCGTAAGACTTCAAATTCACCCTGAATTCCCAATAAATCATGCATTCGTAAATATGTGTTGAGTTCTCTAATCCTCCAAATCCTTTGTGAGCTTGTTTCATACTCTGAATTCTTGCTTTGAGTTCCTTCCTGCATATCCCTTTCATTTGTGGTTTTGTTTGCTCACAGCCTTCGGTGGTATTTGATGATCTGGCCTCATCGTTCTCCAAGGAAGAGTGGATGGAGTTGGAGGAGTGGCAGAAGGAACTCTACCGTAACGTCATGAAAGAAACCTCTGAGACGTTAATATCTCTTGGTAAGTTGGTGGGGTTTCCTCACTTGCTAATATAAATTGGATTATTAAGGGAGAGTGTGTCAGGTTACATATGCACTGTAGGGGGTAACCCCTAATTATAGAAAGACCAAAACACTAAACCTGGATATGAAGGGGAAGGAGATCTGAGTAGAATTGACTCAAAATAAACCATCCATAGAAAAAAGCAACCCAAAAATGAAAACTTAACTTTTGTTTACATATCAAGTAAAAATAGACTAGTCTAAATATATAAGTTAATAGATCGAATCGCAAATCCTCTGTAAAGTCAAAATTACATTGTGGATGATTAGTAACTTCCTAACCCAATTTAGTCAGAGCGGAAAGGAATATGCAGAATGTAACTGCTATTTGGATATATTGTTGCTAAGAGGAGAAACCAAAACTTCTTCAAGTCGGAAAGTGTGGGGGACATCTGTCCTTCTGAGTTTCTTACATAACTGTAACATACAGAGTCTAGAGGGAAGGTAAAGGGGGAGAAACTGTATCTTACTCCTACCGTGCCTTCAAGGGCACCCCTTAAAAAAAGACTAATTCCTCCTTCCCAACTGAAAGTTAAGATGAAAACTGCTTAGCTGAAATGACATCCAAAACCCATTCTATAACTATAGTGTATTAAAGGTCACAAAAACAAAATTAAGTGAAGTGTAAAATCTATAAGTTCAAAAGATTCATGATTATACGAGCATATGGTGGCAAACTTTAGAAATCAAAATAATTGCTGCAGCATCGTCCCATGTCTCATCCGACTACATGCACCACCATCCCGACACGCGTTTCGCCACTAACTGCCTCTTCCAGATTCCTCACTTAGGACAGATATAAAACAAAATTAAAACAAATCCATTCTAGTAACGAGGCTGTGGGGAGAACCTGCTCCTTGTTTCTCAAATCAATTTCTTGCTTACTGAAAGCTCGATCCTTCAGACAACCCTGGAACCTGAGGGCAATCGTGCCATATTCCTAGCTGGACCAAGTATATCCTTAATATTCCCTGTCAATGATATAGCGAGGTAATCTGTGTATTGTGTGGGTATAGCCGGCCTGTCTCCTGGCTGTATAATAGCGAGGTAATCTGTGTATTGTGTGGGGATAGCCGGCCTGTCTCCTGGCTGTATAATAGCGAGGTAATCTGTGTATTGTGTGGGGATAGCCGGCCTGTCTCCTGGCTGTATAATAGCGAGGTCATCTGTGTATTGTGTGGGGATAGCCGGCCTGTCTCCTGGCTGTATAATAGCGAGGTCATCTGTGTATTGTGTGGGTATAGCTGGCCTGTCTCATGGCTGTATAATAGCGAGGTAATCTGTGTATTGTGTGGTTGTAGCTGGCCTGTCTCCTGGCTGGATAATAGCGGGGTAATTGTGTGGGTATAGCTGGCCTGTCTCCTGGGTGGATAATAGCGGGGTAATCTGTGTATTGTGTGGGTATAGCTGGCCTGTCTCCTGGCTGTATAATAGCAAGGCTTTTTTCACAAGCTCCACAATTTATACAATTCCCCATGCAAGGGGTTTCCTGAGTCCTATCCCAGGGGTATTCCCAGAGTGGACTACATGGGGAACTTAATGTACAGATCCTTTCCCCCATCAGGCACTGCTGCACGAGAGGGATCCTCCCACTGGAATGTACCGTTAAGTGGATTATCCCTCCGTGCAGCAGAACCGGCAATTTACTTTAAAATGTACAGTTTTTCGACTATTTGGTCTATTTGCACGAATGGACGTTCGGTAGATAGCTGGGATCTCAGCGCATCATTCGTGAGATTACCGCTCAGATCCCAGCTAAAACAACCAAACGCCGCACGAAAAACATATTCATTAAAACACACATTCAAAAGACCGATTGAAGTATAGGGAATAAAATACTGAACGGCCCGGAACTTCCGAACGGCCTGGAAGTTCAGCGGTGTTCGCGCCGTTGAGTAGCCGTTTTTAGTACCACGCGCTCGACGACCAAACACCACTGAGGGAACAAAGGATCCAAGATGTCGAACGACGGCCACCTAGGAGAGCCTCAAACAAGTGCCACACGTTTCTAAATGTGTGGGCTATTACATGGTGGTTATTTCGGTTCACGAACGGCCCGCAAAGGAAATTGGCAGATAGCCAATACAGGAAATACAAGGTATTACAGCCAGCATACATTATACCTAGGCACACACATACCCCACAACCATACAGGCAACCCTTAAAGGTACAGTCTCTTTATATTGTCCAAGTGGCTAGGTTTGCCACACAAGGTAATCTGTGTATTGTGTGGTTATAGCCGGCCTGTCTCCTGGCTGTATAATAGCGAGGTAATCTGTGTATTGTGTGGGTATAGCCGGCCTGTCTCCTGGCTGTATAATAGCGAGGTAATCTGTGTATTGTGTGGGTATAGCCGGCCTGTCTCCTGGCTATAATAGTGAGGTAATCTCTATGTTACGTAGATTACTGGGGTTTAGGCAGGAGGCATTGGGTTTGTCAGCTGACACTCAGCCTATCACAATTCCCTAGTCATAGAACGGGGTGAAGAAGGTGCTTTGATTGTGCACAACAATAGGGTAATCCAGTTATGGGGTTATAAACATGAGTTCCAGTGTTTTTTTTTTCCTCTGGAATTAAAGTCCTCTCAGACTTTAATTCCAGTGTTTAGTGAAATGAGTGGAAGGATTTCATTCTCTCCTCATTATATCACTGAATGGGTTTGCAGCAAATTATTTTTTTTTTTTTTTTAATTTGGCCTTTAAAGTAATAATGTTATTTAACTTTACTTCCCCATTTATCTAACAGGAAACAAAATGTTTTCTTAAACTTTGCTTACCATTCCCAGAATCTTCAATGTAACTCCAAATTAGTCCCAATCCATGGCTTTATCAGAGATGCTCTCCGCATGACTTGACACGTTGCATTCATTTCCATGTCTGTGTATAAAGCATCCACTGAAGGATATCCTTATAGAGAGATAATTATCATTAAAACTCATTTATTTACTAAAGGAAAATAGTCATTTTACATCCACATAGATCACAATATCCTATTGTGCCAATAATCTTATCTTAAGAGTAATCCGATGATTTGTTTCCTTCTTTCTTGATATAGCATTTTGTGTCTCATTGTTCAATTGTGCATTTTTTGTGTTCCAGGAGAAGGTCTGGTGGAGAAAGCCATTGGTGAGAAGAACGTGGGTGGCCTAGACTCCTCTGCTGGTTTAGCAGCTGACTGTACCGGTAATTTACCCCTTTGTCCCGAGGGGGCTGTAGCATGCAGTAACCAGCTGGGTGGGGGGCAAGGCCAGCTTGGACATGCTTTGGACATTGCTGAAGGGAAAGCTGCAGCCTTCTCAGAAGGTGTAGACAAAATTCGGATAAAATTTTTAGATCGTTCATGTGTTTCCAAGGTTGACAGGGCTCACGCTTGTGCAGAGTGTGGCAAAGTCTTCTACAACAAGAGGACATTGAAGGCCCACCTCAGGGCTCATCTTGGGGAGAGGTCGTACATCTGCAATGTCTGCGGGAAGTGTTTTCGAAGACACACTTCATTGCTCATCCATGAGCGTATACATACCGGGGAACGGCCATACCAATGTACTCAGTGCGGTAAGAGCTTCGTCCAACGTCAGCATCTCAACACCCACCAGCGCACTCACACCGGCGAGAAGCCCTTTCAGTGCCTGGAGTGTGGTAAGGGATTCCGGTGGAGGTCAGAGCTGCTCAAACACCAGAAGATCCATGAGCAGGAGGTATGTGCAATGAAGCTGCTTCTTTACTCTTTTCAAAGAACGTAGAACAAGAGGGAGGATGATGTATTTTATGGCAAAACCTTCACTTAGAAAACATTAAATGGACATGCATCACTTGACAATTAAAGGGAAACTATAGTGCCAGGAAAACAAAGTTGTGTTCCTGTCACTATAGGTGACATTATAAAATGCTTTCCTATTGTGTTTCGGATAACGCTGGATGTCCTCATGCATCTTGCCTTTCAAGGCAATTTTTGCAGTTTACCACTGCAGGGTTAAGGTACCTGGGACACTGCACCCAGACCACTTCAATGCGCAGAAGTGGTCTGGGTGCCTATAGTATTGTGTTTGTGTACTACTACTTGCGAGCACCATAAGCACCGGACTGGAACACCATAACCACTACAAACCGCCGCAGCTTGGTTGGCGTCTCGCTGTCGCGGAATGGACCTTTAGACTGTCACCCTTATTCCTGCTTTGGGCTGTCTGTGGCTTGTCCCCCACATTACATGTTTTGTGCTCCTAATCCCTGGATCATCTTGTTCTTCCCCTGTTCCTCTGGCCGTTCGATAAAATAGCAGCCATCTTGTCTATAAACAACGCCTTGTTCGACAACCGAACAAATTACTGAACGCCAGACCATCCATTTGTGGAGTGTGCCGCTCGTTAACCCCAGTAACCCCTGTTCACACCTCCACCAACCACAATAACGAACATTCCAAGCGGTCTGCTGTGTGGCCGCCATTCGTATGTGCGAACACGTGGCGTCAGCCATCTTAAGGCGCGAACAGAGACCGCTGTGTTTGGTCGTCGAGTGCATGGAAGTAAAATCGGACACTTGACGGTGCGAACACCATTGAAACTTCCATCCTCGGTTATGCTCGTGGGGATTCCGACGAACAGAGTGGCGTTCGGGGTGAGCAAACTCCCGAACAAGATAAACCGCAATAATGTCTGCACGATCAATTCACGTCTTGTATTTCGCCTATTTGATACTCCCGAAAGAGACCCGACTGCACAGCCTAATTTCATGGAACCTTTTTGGGCAGGCACCTTGTGTGTGGTCGGTCTAAAGTATACCCTGGTTTCATTTCGGCTGCATTCGTGGGATCTGAGTGCTTTTTGGTTTTATTGGGCGCTCAGTCCCAGGCTATCCGGGGATATAGGACTTAAGGGGGTATCTTGTGGGGAACTGTATGTTTTGGGGTGATTTATTTATTTATAAAATATTTTACCAGGAAAGATACATTGAGATTTCTCTCGTTTTCAAGTATGTCCTGGGTAGTATTATACATTAGTATTAATATTATACATGTCCTGGACCTGAGAGGTAATGTAATTATGTTGTGTATTTTGTCTGTCTACTATCAGGTCCAGTGGGGAATGCCCCTGGAATTTGTTTGGAAACCCCTTTCATGGGGATTCTCATAAAAGGCCGTGTGTGGCTCCATTAAAATCAGTTATATCCCCAGAGCTGAATGTCGTCCAGTTGCTGGGGAGGTGGTGGGAAATTCTTGGATTATTCTTGGAGTATTCTACTTGTTCCTGAGCGCATTTTGGAGTAATCAGCGGAGGAGAGTCCCTGCTAGGACTAGCGCCCCACTGTAACGGATCACCTGGCACCCCGACTGGGTACCTCTGTTGAAGAATGCTCCTAACGCTTACTGAGGACTCCAAGCACTGCATCAGACGCCACAACCACCGAACCGGAGAAGCATACGAATGCTCTCAAGCATTTGAATGCTGTAAGCAGCTGAACAGGAAAAGCATACAATCAGCTTACACTCCTGGCAATCAGCATACAATCCAATTCCCCCAATAACGAGACGACACTTCGTTTTGAGGTCAAGCAGAACTGACTGTACTGGCACATACAGCCTCTTTTATTCACAATCCACAAACATAGTACTGCCCACAGGGTTTTGAAATACAACCAATCAATCCGTACAATACACACAGACACTCCCACACAAAATCCTCCCCTCTGCCTGTGATATGATTACCGAACACAATGGTTAATATAATTATCACAGGCAGAGAAATACAGTATTATAAAACATATCACAGGGACCCCAAAACATGCAATAACCGGGGGATCTGGGTGAACCACATATCCAAAATTCACCCAGATCCGTTCAGTAGTTTGGAAGATACAGTTTAATGCAGATTCCGCAGAACATATGTAGGCTAAATGAAAAACAATTACTGTATAATGTGTCCCCTGTTGTATAGTTTAAAACTACTGCACGATGTCTTTGTGCAGCAAATACCGGCGAGATGGCACCGTGTAGAAAAATCCAAACATCATGTCTGTGAGTTAAAATGGCCGCCATCCATTGTTCTCACCATGTGCTTCATCCATTGTGCCTCTGATACATGAAATGGTGGCCACCCAGTAACTCCACAGTTTGTCTGGTAGTCTATCCAGCCGGACCAACAGATGAAACACATGGGGAACAGTGCAACAAACAAAGGGAATCATAAAAAATATGGACAATAGTCATATTTGTGCACAATCTCCAGTTTTGTCACAGGGCACAAATAGTGTTTTCAAATGCCGTATATCCCAGGGCCATAGTCAGAAGGTAGGAGGCGGGCAAGCAGCCCCCTCCAAGAACAAGTGGCGAGGTCTGTTCCACCACACCTGCTACACTGTCCTCCACCCACCCTGGACCCAAGACCAGGATCCAGCTTCCAGTGGGTAGACCTTTCCAGCAGGCCCCTCCAAGAACATGTGACTAGGCTCTGTTCGTCACACCCTAGCATAGGTATTTCCGCTATTCCTTCCTTGAAGCTGAAAGAAGCAGTATAATAATCAGTAACACTTTTCCCCTAGTAACTAGACGACACATAGTTCTGGGAGTCAACTGATTTTATTTTGTCCACACACGGCTTTTATGCACATACCCCTACATGAGTTGTACATCTGCAATGTTACATAGTTACATAGCTGAAAAGAGACTTGCGTCCATCAAGTTCAGCCTACCTCACATTTGTTTTTTGCTCTGGATCCTGGTCTTGGGTCCAGGGTGGGTGGAGGACAGTGTAGCAGGTGTGGTGGAACAGACCTTGCCACTTGTTCTTGGAGGGGGCTGCTTGCCCGCCTCCTACCTTCTGACTATGGCCCTGGGATATACGGTATTTGAAAACACTATTTGTGCCATGTGACAAATGTAATTATCTCTCTGTGCCTGAGAGATAATTGCGTGAGGAAAAAGCTATCACTTAATTATCTCTCAGGTACAGAAAAATATACAATATTTTAACAACTTCAGAACCCCATGAAAGACATATTACCGAATAGCTTGCATCTGAGCGCACACTATGCCGAAATATCACTCCGATTCCTTTGTTGGTTTGGGAACGCCATTCAAATTAAGTTTTGACCGGTCGGCGATGAGTTGATGCCCCAAAACAGTTCCAGAGAAAACAAGACAATGACCGGTCATCTTTCAGGGATTCTCGCACGAAAACTGATTAATCCATTCCCTGGCTGTTAGGGTACGACTGCTCCCCCTGTTCGGTAGTTTATGCCTGTTTATGCCATTCTCCTAACTGTTCGGGAAGTTGGATGAGCAACGATACCAGTTTCCCGGGTGTTCGCGGGATCACGTATCCGAAAACTGCTCCACGCTGTCAGCGACTATGTACTGCTGCCCGCGTGCAGGAGACAAAATGGCCTCCAACGTGCGTTTGGTTAAACGAATGGCAGCCACACAGGAAAAAACACTTGAACTAATAACCAATTTGTGGTTAACCGCCCGGGGTGGTTGGTGATTAAAAGGTGCGAACAAGGGGCCACACAGAGAGGGGGTTCGGTAACCGAACGGGGGTGTATGGACAGGAACAAAGAGAATAAAAGTATATTTGGGGTCTCCATTCCGCTACAGTGTCCCTTTAAGTTTTTTTTTTAAACAGTAAGTAAACACTTTTAGATAAAATATATAAAGCTAGAAAAACCTTTAGAATGTAATACACGTTTATAAACTTGGTCAGCTTGCATTACTGGACGTACCTCTCAGCTCGGGGAGTTTAAGTCTCCGTTTCAGACCAGTTCACTAATAATATTGTGCAGCAGCAGGAAAGAAACCCAACACCAGAGCCTCCTCTGCATGATAACACTGATCAGACTCCCTCTCTTCTCCACCTTTTAGGATGTTACATGTGTAAATCTGTCAGGCATTCCCAATGCCCTTTTCCAGGACACTGATTGGTTAGGCCAGTGTCTCTCCTGGAGTGGGTGTGAAAAGCATGCGTAGCGGAGATGCAATATTATCCAGGTTATCTCCGCTTATAATCCAAGTGGGACTCAGGAACAAGTAAATAGTAAATCCACAGGCAAGGCTTCCAGCAGGTAAAATACAGCAATATCCCAACAGCAATCCCAATAACTGGACGACACACAGTTTCAGGAGCATAACTGACAAGCCTTTAATCACAGTCTCCTTATAAAGCATGCTCCCATGCAAGGGAGGGATTTACAGTAATTATTACAGTAGCCAATCCTGTCCTGGTAACCTCCCACACATCTCCTCCCCTCAGCCAGCATCATAATCCCCTTATCCAGCACACCAATTCCCCCCGTTTCTGGATGTACCCCTAAACGTAGGGGTACCTCTTTAAATCCTACATCCCCGGATACCCCTGATCTGGGTGACCAACATATCCAAAAATCACCCAGATCAGACCAGGGGTTCGGGAAAAGTATGGAGGGAATAAAATGACCAACCGCACGAACTGAGATAGCCGAATCCGGTTCCATGTGAATGGGCCCTGCGGTCGGTCCTGGCATAAGGGAATAAAATACACGAAAACCTCTAGCTATAGAGGCTAGGGAGGGTTCGCCTGAATCCCCTCGTTCGGTATTTTCTATCTACCGATAGTTTGGAACCGAACGGACCAGGGCTGTGGAGGTCTCAGCGGTGTTCGCCTACTCGAGTGTCCGATTTTAGTTCCAGACACTCGACGGCAAAACACCGCTGTTCGGGAGTTTTAAAATGGCCGCCGCCACGTGTTCGTTTGTCGAATGGCGGCCACCCCCGAGAACAAAGGACGGCTACTTACTATTCAGTTACCCGCTCGCAACAATGTTGCAACGGTTAATTGAGGAGACACTTCACACAGGGGAGGTCTGGTTGTTCGGTAGTTTCATTCGAATAAACTAAGGGAATGAAACTACCGAACAATCAGAGGAATACAATTCTTTTTAATACATAGAAAACACAGCAGATACACGAATGCAGGTATATACAGTATATTTGTTGGGTCGCCGGGTGCCATCCGCTACACTGCTCCC